GTTCAGCAGATTCATGCCAGTTTACATCTTCATTTACAGTGGCTTCCAAATCACTCAAATGATTGGATAACAAGGAGACAGCACTTCCCCCTCTATCTACCTCGGATTGCTGAGAAAATACTTCCCTTGTTGATAGCAGCTGCTTGTTCTCCTCAACTTCATTTCCCATAGTTTCTTGGGATGATTCACCATTAGTACCATCCTGCTGGTTTTCATTAGCCTCTTCTCTAGTACCATCCCTCCTCTCAACAAATGCAATGTTGGCTAACTGTTTCCTATCTCTTGCATTAGAGTCTGAAACTTGTCTTGGCCCCTCTTTTAAATGAGCAGTAATTTCTTGCCAACTTGCATCATCAACATTGTTATCTTCTATATCAGTTCTCCTATCCATTAACCCAAGGCTACCATTTTTCTCAGAATTTGACTCAGTTTGTTCATAAAATTCATTTATGACCTGTTGTGAGTTTTTTGCTTTGATTTGTTCACTTCTATTATCATTAACGTCAATGTTAGATGAGGTATCGTTGACATTGCTGCTTAGTTGTCTGCAAACAGAATGGTCCAATCTTGAGAAAAATCCTTCCCTACATAAAACCAACAGTTCACACAGCATTGTTAACAAAAAGCACTAATTTACTAGTTTAAAATCTCTCCAGAATTGTGCAGTAGAAATTTAAAAAAAAAAAAGATATAACATGGTGACACAAAACACAATCAGCACATAGAATTGACAAGGCCAAACATAATATGGAAAAAACCCTAAATAATAAAGCATGAAAGAGCACAGTACCACTCAATACTGAGTTCACAGCAGCAGTATTGAATTCAGAAACACATTCTTACAATCAAATACAGAACCCTAAATAATAAACCTGCTTTCCTTTCTATTCTGGATGGTAAAAGAATTCAATGATATGGGGAAGAAAGAATATTTCAGAATAAAGGTTTAGATATCCTCCCAATCAAAGAAAAGGAGAATGAAAGAAAATACAATTCAAAAACATCCAAAATTTAGGGTGTGAAGTGGCATTAAAGTGCAATTAGATCTATGCTTTGGAGGTATTCAAATTAATATTATCAATTAGAATAATTTATAGTTCGCTTGTTTGGAACAATAAAATAAAGCATCCAAGCTCCGCCTAGAAAAATCCACTGAGTACCATAAGAAAATGGTTGCAAAAGTATTAGATTCCTTAGAAAGAGGGAGTTAGGGGGGGGGATACAGCATGCAGATCCAATACCTTAGATCAGATACCGTATGTCTTTGCCTCAATAAACCCAATTCACTTGCTGCTGTGGATGTGGGTCTCTCATCTTCAACAATTCTGTCATTTCGCAAGAAACTGCCTCGAAGTAATGACTGCAAAACAAATGATTCACAGCGATCAAATTAGAAATGCTAGAAAACATGTCAAATAATTCACAAGCAATCCCATCAATGGCTAAATATCCATATGTTTACCACAGGTGCTTGACTTTACCAAGAAAAAATGATTCACAATGGAAAATATGAATCTTATGCAAGCTTTCAATCAGCCTCAGGTAAATAACTGCTCAAAACCCGGAATCTCCTATGATCATTGATTTATGGAACAGTCCTCGTGTGTAACCAGTAAATATTTAAACCTCAAATGCCTTCATCCTAGTGCAATTTGCACCATTATGGATTAGACAATGTGTTGTTAACATTAATGGATAGTATGCAATCAAATAATATACAAACAACATTCATACATATTGAAAATATCAAGATTTGATAGCAGCTAACCTGAATGCGGTTTCGATGAGCAAATTTTGTTACAGCGCAATGCTCCAACAAACCTTCAAGCTCACTTTGCCTTTCTCTCTCAGACTTCTTAAGCATATCAAGCAAAGCCTGTCTGCCACACAATCTACGAATACCCCTCCGAGTATGCTCAGTTCGGCCTTCATTGTGGTTAACAACCAATCCATCAAGAACTTGTTCAATTTGACCAGTAACCTCAGCACCTTTTTCTTCTCTGCGATCAACACAAGCACCTCTCTGCCGGCTGTTCATTTGTACCCACTCCCTTATAATTCTTACCCTTTCCTGCTCGGTTTCACCAAGCCATTCTGCTCTAGAACCACTGTTCCTTTGGGAAATGCTGGATGTACATTCCCTTGCACCACAATCCATCCATTCCTGAAAAATCTGCCTTACCTTCACCCTTTCAACCTCTCCTAGATCAGAAGAATCCTCCTGTCCATTCTCCAATCCAATTGGAGATGGGGGCCATTGTCCACACTCACTCTCCCCAGCACTCCCACCCTCTGAAGACCCACTTTGGTCATTACTGTGGTTATCAGATGCATCCACCCTCAATAGATCAGTACTGGATCCGTCACTCTGACATTGGACCAATCTATCAGTAACCCTCCCCTGGACATGACTCACCACATGCTCATCCTCAAGCTCCCTCTGTATTTGCACGTGTGATGTTGTCTGGTTGCTTGCCCTCCCATCATCACCCCATCTTCTCACTGCCTCTGATTGAGATTCCCTAAGGAAAGAAGAATCAAGCACAGAAACATTGTGCCCACTAGCAACAGCCATTAGTCCAAACTCCAAATTGAAAAACAAAATCTATCAACACCTCTGCTTAAAATGCATTGACGAAAAAAAGTGCATCTATTTACAATAAATACAAGCAGGTGATCACTTCCAAAATTAGATCAGCGCATAAATCATAATTTTATCAACAACCCTTAAATTCATCTTCTACCTCGTCATCATCGGCACAAAGCCAAATGAATACAATGTAATGTAAATATCATATGGCCTCCGTATTAAATCATCAACTCTTCTCCTCTCAACTCATCACAAACGCAACTCTTCCTCTGCATTAAAATTGAAAAAAACGAAACATGTCAATCACGGTATTCTCAGAAATTTGTAAATCAAATAAAACTCAAAATTACTCCTATCAAAAAAAATTCATTCAATTTCTAAATACATAAGAAAACTCAGGAACTTGATACATCTATTGTTTCAATTATAGTAACCTTCACTCATTTGAATCCAACAAGAACAGATTCCAAAGAATCTACTCAATTCCTAATTCCTCCGCTTGGTCGCCGAGAAAACGCAGGAAAATACAAGCAATAGAAAATTCATCCTTCACATTTTCCATTCTTTGAAAAAAAAAGTCAAAACACAACAGATTCATAAAATTACTCTAGCTTTCCATTATTTTAATACATCAGCATCACCATTTCCATATCAGTAACCAATAAATCCAGTGAAAAAAAATACAAAACGCCGAAAATAACAGAAACGACTCACCGTTTATGTACATGGCTGGATTCCTATAAGCGTGAGACTGAAGCTCTGCTAATTTCGAAGTAAAGGAAACGAAACCGTAGCGAAAAGGACTGACCCAGACTCAGCGAGAGAGGGGGGAGAGAGAAACAAACGAGGAGTTTTTTGTTTTTGTTTTGTTATTTTAGAGGGATGGAGGGAGACTTATCTTTATTGCAGACAAGTCGCCATAACAAATAGGTACAACTTCAGAAGGTTGGCCCTCTAGGTTCTAAGAAGTTCAATGGCACCTTTTATTTTGAATAACCTATTTTTTAAATGATTGATTTTATAGAAACAAACAAACAATATAAATTTTATGATAGTTATTTGTTTTTTTCTTGAGTGAAAAATCATTTACTATTCACATAACTTGCATTTTATTATTAATGAATATAAAAATCAATTTTTAAGAGGTTTTATTTTCAAAATTTTAAAAATGACTCTATTTATCCTATATAATTTATAAAGTTTTCTATATGTCTTTAGATCTCTAGTTATATCTATTATGACCATGTATGATATTTAGTTTTTCATTATATATTTTTTTCAAGTTTTTATATACAAATTAATATAATTATAATTTTTATTTGGAAAATACTTTTGAGATATATAACAATATAATTTAAGTTTTCCAAAAAAAATCTTTTTTAAAAAAAAGATAAATGAATAGTTTTTGTATTTTTTAAAAAAAATTGAGAAAAGATTTATAAAATTTTACATTATATCTTTTTACAGCTCAAGATAAATTTGAAATAAATAATATAATTTTATTAGGTGAAAAAACTTGACTAAAGAGCATATTAAAGAATTGAATACTATATAAAAATAATATATATATATATATAATTATAAGAATATATTAAAAAATTGATTAACTGTTTAAAGATAGATTAAGTTATTTATCCCAGACTTTGTTTATAAATTCTTTATTTCTTTCTTGAATGTTTCCTAAGTTTGGTGATTTTAGAGGGAATATGAAAGAAAGCGATAAAAAATATATGAAAAAAATAGTTATTTAGTAGTAAGCTACTACGGGAAAATTAAATCTTTTAAAACAAATAGGGTTATATGAGAAATGTTAATATGTGGGGTAGAAATGTTACATTGATTAATTTATAAGGATAAAAATATAGTCTACCCTAATAAATGGGAACGTGGACGATAAAAAATATAGTCTGCCCTAATAAATGGGAAGGTGGACACGTCATGGTTTCACATATTATGCCCATAACTCTTGCCGTAACGCTAAAGTATTCAAATTTTCCGAGCAACCAAGACTCGACACGTGGTAAGACGAGGGTGTTTTCGGAGAATTGCAAATCTTGAATGCAGCGGGAAGTGAATTGAAGCTGGGAGACAGGTACTAAACGACACCGAATTCAAGGGTTTGATTTTTACCTACCACACTAACGGCGCCGTTTCCATGTTTTCGCGTTTGGTTGTTGGGGAAGGGTAAGAATGGAATTTTAAAGTGGGAGGGATTTTTGTTAGTTTAGCTTAGTTTAGTTACACGTGCCGCCAAATAACCGTTTGAGCTGCAGTTCGAAAGAATGGCTACCTGAGTGGAGTATATATTTTGTCTGCATTACGAGAATTTTGATTGATTTTTGTCGTTGGTTTGATTGCACGTGTTTTTGACAAGAACACAACGTTAATTATTAACGGAGGCTGGAGTGTGTCTTTTTTTTTTATATAAAAAAATGTTTTTAAAATTTTTGAAATTATTTTTTAAAATTAATATTTTTTATAGGTTAATGTTAAAAATAAATTTTTAAAATTAAAAAATATTATTTTAATATATCTCCAAATAAAAATATTTTAAAAAATAATATAATTTCATATATTAATTTTAATTTATATTTAAATCACTTGAAATTGGCTTAATTAATGACTGAATTGATCTCTTGCAATTTTATCTTTTTAAAATTTGATCATTCTATTCCATTTTAAAGGGTTCAATTAATTGTCAGGAAATTTGCTTAATTTAAACTCTTTACAAACAATTTAGTCAAATTAAATCCCTTATTTTTAATTTTTTGTTACTTTAAACATCCCATCTATTTTTTCTATTAGATTGATTATATAGCATTAGGTGACCAAAGCAAGACCTAGGCAAGCTCCACATGTATGGTTTAAAAAAAAATTAACAATAAAATTAAATTACTTAAAAAGCAAATAAAAAATTAAAATTAAAATTAAAATAATCTTCCTCTTAAAACTAACCTGATATGATGGTTTGTATTTATTAACAAAAAAACCAAATAAAACAGGACTTTCATTGTTGATAGCATGTGGCAGCTTTCCTAGTCTAAATTTTATTGTTGTGGTTGTTATAGGATTTTTAGCACGTGGCAGCTTTTCTAGTCTAAATTTTATTGTTGTGGTTGTTTTTAAAAGTATTATTTTATTAAAATAATATATTTTTATTTTTAAAAAAGTATTTTTAAAATCCGTATATTAAAATAATTTAAAATATATATAAAAAATTATTTTTAAACAAAATAAATTAATTTTTTTTAAAACAGGGTATAAATGTTCTCTTAATCCTTATGTTTTTTGTTTATATTTATCTTGATCACTGAAATTTATTTCTATTTCTATTTCTATTTATACCTCTCCATTACATCTTTCATCAATTTATATGCTGATAACTTTTCTCCTTTTTTTTTTTATCATCACTGATCGGCCTTAAATGTCATTTGATATTCCAACATCAAATTGGCAGCCAATTTGAAAACAATTTGTTTTAGCTTGTTGTAATATATATATATATCAAGGACGGAAATTGATGCAACAACAAGAGCTCTTTTCCCGAAAAGGCGCGTAAAACTACCATTTTATTTTTTTTATATAATTAATCCTAGTTCTTTTAGCTAATCATATTTTTATCATAAAATTTATTTTTTTCATGTTCATTTTTTAAAGGTTTGAAAAGAAGATAGAAAGTTACCAAAAAAATTTAGAAAAGAAAAGGCTTTTGGATGATTGATATTTAACTTTGGTTATTTTTTTATATGTTGATTTATTTTGAGAGAATAATTGATTTTAAACTTAAGTGATGCAAGGAAGAAAAAAAAAGATTGAACCTCACAATTTTTAAAAATTTAATTTTAATGTAAGTTTTTAGATTAATTAAAACATGTTTTTTAATTTGAAAATTTATAAGATGTTTTTTTTTTGTTTAAGTATTTTCCAGTTACTGATAATTTGGGCTTTTGCTTGCTTGTTGATTTATCTTTGAGATAATAACACAATGAAAATGATTTTAAACTTCAACTATGCAAGAAAAAAACAAGATTTAGCCTTATAATTTTTAAAATTTTAATTTTAATTTGAGTTTTTAAATTGATTAAAATGTGTTTTTTAATTTGAAAATCCATAAGTTTTTTTTGTTTAAATTTCGGTTTTTAGAATCTTAAAACTTGGATTCATTGTTTAGCCGCCAAAGCCACTTCGGTGACCAAAAATTATTACAGTGAAACAACGCATCGTTGTTGCGGTAGACGACATGTAATCCTCTCTACCTGTTAAAATAAAACTAGCCTAGGCTCTACAGCTCAAGTGCGCGGCTCTGGTTGTTGGCCGACGTGGAAGTCTTGGCCCTCAATGAAGTCCTTTTTTATGATCAACTACGATATATATGTGTGTGTGTCTTATTTCAATTATCTCATACTTTTAAAAAACACAGTTGAGCTCTTTCTTCTAATATTTTCTTATTATAATATCAACTTATTTTATTTATTTATTTGTTGTTATATGTAAAACTAATGTGTTTTTTTAAACATTATCATATATATTCAATGATAATATAATATATATTTTATTATCATATTTTTTATATTATTTACATCAATTTATTATTTTTTTAGTTTTTTTATACAATCCCATGAAAATAAGTGAAAAGCTATTTTTTTTAATTGTTTTACATATCATGATGAGTTTTTACTGCTTTTGACAAAAAAAAAAGTTCCTTTAAAATTACGTACGTCATAAGTATGCTTTTGACAAAAAAAAAAAAAGTTCCTTTAAAATTACGTAGAAATTAAATAATAATAAAAAGAAACTTCTGGCTAAAAAATATATTTCTTATTCAATTTAAGTTATTTGGGTTCTTACATATATTTATTTTGCTTTCTTAAACTCTTTTTCAAATAAACATGCTATTAATAAAAAAAAATTATTTTTCTTTTAAAATAAAAACCCATTAATGATGAAAAGGACTTTTTACACGAGAAAAACATTTTTACCTCATGATTATTTATTTTAATTACTTCAATAAAAAATTAGAATAATTTTCCTCTAAAATTTGAAATAAATAACTTACCTTTGCTTGATATATTTATAATAACAATAATCATATTGCTTAGCAATCAAAATTAGCCTCCAGAACAAATAAGCAAGTGAAATGAATAGATGAGGTAAGATATTTGCATGTGTCTCTATTTCTTATTTCTTATAGACACACAAAAAAAGCTTTTAATTCTAGTCTTTAATTAGTGTTAACAAATATTTTGTAATTTCTCAAAATAAATATCTATAAATATCCAGATAATTTAAATATAGTAAGAAAAAAATGTATTTCTTTATCCAAAAAAATAAGCAAAAAACTATTTTTTGTTTGTAATTGTTTTAAAGATCATGATAAATTTAAAATTTTCAAATAAAGATGCTATTAATAAATAAAAAAGTCATTGTTTCATCGAAATGAAAAAAAAAAATCACTAATGATGAAAATGACTGTTTACAGGAGAAATACATTTAATTTTTTGAGTTTTTATGAATATTTATTTTAATTACGAGTCATTAATTAATGATAGAAGCCTTCTTTCATCCTTCTAAGCACCCCCACCCCACATAGAACTCACAAACAACAACAACCCACATTCCACTGTAACAAAAACCACCACATGGCCTCGCTCTCGGCCGAAAAAAGAAAAACCCGACCATTTGATTAACAAAAACACATTGTCATCTCCCTTTTTGTCGAAGTCAAATTACCTCATTTTCTAAACCAAAGCTACCAAACTCTTGTGTGAGATTCAGGAATCCAAGTTCTGCTTCATTGAATAGAGCTTGCATTGGTTTCAGGCTGGGCTAGGAAGCTCAGTTTGGTTCTTATAATGTATTTTGCAAACAAAACCTTATGGAAAACTTCAAGCCTTGTTTTTCACCTAAGCGCTTGTTTGATAAA